GAACTAAGTTGTCCTTTCTGAATGAAGCTCTTTCCACACTCTGTGCATTTAAATGGTTTATTCCCTGTATGGATCTTTTGGTGACAAGTAAGCACTTTATTCTCAAAAAAGCTCTTTCCACACTCCATATGAGAATTAAGCTGTCCTTTCTGAATAAAGCTCTTTCCACACTCCAGGCATTTATATGGTTTATCCCCCGTGTGAATCTTTAAGTGTCGAGCCAGATGCGTGTTTGTTCTGAAGCTCCTTCCACACTCTGTGCATTTAAATGGTTTATTCCCTGTATGGATCTTTTGGTGACAAGTAAGCACTTTATTCTCAAAAAAGCTCTTTCCACACTCCATACATTTATAGGGTCTCTCTCCTGTGTGGAATCTTTTATGAGAATTAAGCTGTCCTTTCTGAATAAAGCTCTTTCCACACTCCAGGCATTTATATGGTTTATCCCCCGTGTGAATCTTTAAGTGTCGAGCCAGATGCGTGTTTGTTCTGAAGCTCCTTCCACACTCTGTGCATTTATACAGTCTCTCTCCTGAGTGGAGCCTTTGATGAGCATTAAGTAGTTGTTTCTGAGTAAAGCTCTTTCCACACTGTGTGCATTCATAAGGTTTCTCTCCTGTGTGAATCCTTTTATGAGAATTAAGTTTTCCTATTAAATCAAAGGACTTTCCACATTCCTCACAACTATATGGTTTCTCAGCCATGTGGCTCCTTTGATGGCTATTAAGACTAGGCTTGCTACGGAAGTTTTTTCCACACTCTGTGCATTTATATGGTTTTTCTCCTGTATGGATTCTTTCATGATTAGTAAGATTTTCTTTCTGAGTAAATTGCTTTCCACACACTATGCATTTATAGGGTTTCTCCCCTGTGTGGATTCTATTATGATAATTAAGTTTTCCTTTCTCAATAAAGCACTTTCCACAAACTAGGCACTTATATGGTTTATCCCCTGTATGAATCCTTTGATGATGAGTAAGTACCTGGTTGTCAAAAAAGCTCTTGTCACACTCCAAGCATTTATATGGCCTTTCCCCAGTATGAATTCTTTTATGAGAATTAAGTTTTCCTTTCAAAATAAAGCTCTTTCCACAATCCATGCATTTATAAGGTCTCTCCCCTGTGTGGATCCTTTGATGGATAGTAAGAATTCTTTTCTCTAAGAATCTCCTTCCACACTCGCTGCAGACATGTTTTTTCTCCACTCTGTGGATTCTCTCATGGTGGTTAAGATAACTTTTCAAACGGAAGCTCTTTCCACACACTCTGCATTTATACGGTCTCTCCCCTGTGTGCATCCTTTTATGAGAATTAAGTTGTCCTTTCTGAATAAAACTCTTTCCACACTCAAAGCATTTATATGGTTTATTCTCTGTGTGGATCCATTGGTGACGAGTAAGGACCTTGTTGTCAAAAAAGCTCTTTCCACACTCCAGACATTTATATGGTCTCTCCCCAAGGTGGATTCTTTGATGGGTAGTAAGAGATCTATTGTCAAAAAATCTCTTTCCACACTCCTTGCAACTAAGTTTTTTCTCCCCTCTATGGATCCTCTCATGGCGATAAATACTACTCCTGAAATGGAAGCTCTTTCCACACTCCAAGCATTTATACGGTTTATCCCCTGTATGAATCCATTGCCGATGAGTAAGGACTTTATTGTCAAAAAAGCTCTTTCCATAATCCAGGCGTTGGTAAATTCTCTCCCCTTTTTGGATCCTTTGATGGCCATTAAGACTACTCTTACTACTAAAGTTATTTCCATACTTTGTGCATATTTTAGTCTTTTTTTTCAGACCGGAAACCTTCCCCAATTTCACAATGGTATGTGCCTTGTGTTTCCTAAAAAGGTTCTTACGTAAAGTAAGAGAAAAGGAATGCAATGTGGAGATCTTTTCCTCTCCACCTTCTGAATGGCTTCTTTCTTTTGTTTTTTGATTCCCTTGATGGCCAAACATCACTTCTACTTCATAATTTAATGTTTGCAGCGGCATTAACCTCTCCTGCTTCTCCTTCTCCATTGGGTCACCTGCATGGAAAAAAGAAAATTTAGAAACTGTGAGGGAAGGGGAGATAACATCTTGTAGGGTGAGGAGAACCAACACCGCCATTTTTCTGTAGGGGATTTTGCCGAAATTGGCAGGTGGATGTCAGACTTAGCCTGCTGAAGTTTTTCTAGAAAAGAGAACTGGAGATTGTTCATATGTACTTTACATATCCGATTATTTTACACAGTCAGCAAAACCTGTCATTTCTGCAACCACTTGCAATCAGATAAAAGTTGTGGGTTCTATCATGCTCTGAACTGTAAATGTAGCCTTTATAATTTATAGAATATTGCGTGACATGGAATGAAGAGGTATTTTGGTTGTATTTTAAAAGACAGCGATGAGTTGTTAATGTTGAACATACATGTGGGAGATGAAAGCGGAAATTTCTTTCATAAACATATACACAGACCGATATGGCGGTGTTTCTGCATTTTCTAAATTATTTTCCTTTTCATATATTTTGCATTGCATTTGTACATGTGTTTTATCTCTTGAGGATAAAATTAATAAAATTATATGAAAAACCCAGCTGTTAAGGAGGGAGCTTCTCCTCTGGAAAACATACCCATTTGCATTCCAGGTATGGCATCAGCTATGAATTCAGCTCAGAAATGTTGGGTGAAAATTATTAGCTAGGAAATTCTGATGATATCCAAGAGATTTTTCAGCTGGGAATCACATTTAGACTTTGGTGTTGATTGGATAATCTGGGGCATTTCTCAAATTTATCATGAGCATTTCTAACAGGATCTT